CCCAGCTACTTGGGAGGCTGAGGCAGGAGACTCACTTGAGCCCAGGAGTTGGAGGTTGCTGTGAGCGTGATGCCATGGCACTCTACTCAGGGGGATAGCTTGAGGCTCTGTCTCAAAAAAAAAAAGATAAAGAATGGTATAGATACAATGTGGCTAGCCCAAAATCTCATCTAGGAGTAGGTGCTTATTAGGTCAAATATAATAGGACCTGAGATTTGATTTCTTATGTTTTAACTCAGTGCAATAGAAAAGAATGATCATATTCTACAAAAAGTTTTGGTTGATCACACAGTTACTTATTTGTTAATGGACTCTGTTCCAGTTTGCTTTCAACTAAGCACTAATTTGGGGACCTTGGCTTAAAACCTGTTGCAATTTTCTATCCTTTTTCTATCTAGCTTTACAATTAGGAGTCTTTAATATCCTAAAAGAAACAATCATTTTCTAAAATTAACAAAACTCTAATAAAATTTATAAAGTCTAAGAATGTTTAGAATCTTTTACATTGCATTTTTGATCACGTCATTAATAACAAAACAATGCAGACCTGATTTTTTTATGTTGATACCTGTATGACTAAGATTGGTATACATAATTTTTAATTTAATGAAATTATAATAAGATAAGCAATTTTTTTTTTTTTTTGAGACAGAGTCTCACTGTGTTGCCCTCAGTAGAATGCTGTGGCATCACAGCTCACAGCAGCCTCAAACTCTTGGGCTTAAGTGATTCTTTTGCCTCAACCTCCCAAGTAACTGGGACCACAGGTGCCCGCCACAATGCCCAGCCATTTTTTAGATGTAGTTGTCATTGTTATTTCGCAGGCCCAGGCTGGATTTGAAACCACCAGCTCCAGTGTACGTGACTGTTGCCCTAACCGCTGAGCTATAGACACTGAGCCTGCAAATTATTAATAGGTCTTTGTATAGGTTTCTATAATTTACAAATTGATTCATTTTTCTATCTAACTTTGAACACAACAGTAATTCTGTAAGATTGACAGAATAAGCAGGATTATTTTGTTTTATGAAAACTCCAAGCAGGGTGGCACCTGGGGCTCAAAGGAGTAGGGCACCGGCCCCATATACTGGAGGTGGTGGGGTTAAACCTGGCCCCAGCCAAAAAAAAAAGAAAAAGAAAACTCCAACCAGAGCTTGTGACTTGACTCCAGTCACACAATTATTAATTAATATGATAAAAGAACAGCTTTCGATGCGTGTCCTAATGTTTAATCTTTTATTACTGTGGGCTATACCACAACCAGAAATGTGTTCACTATACAGACTTTTTTAATACATTATTCATATTTATGTAAAGGAATTAGTGTTTTGCCTCAAGATACTTTTAGCACTAAAATTTTGTGAATAGGCCAGGTGCAGTGGCTTACGCCTGTAATCCTAGCACTCTGGGAGGCCGAGGTGGGTGGATTGCTTGAGCTCACAAGTTCAAGACCAGCCTGAGCCAGAGTGAGACCTCGTCTCTAAAACATAGCCAGGGCTCGGCGCCTATGGCTCAAGCGGCTAAGTTGCCAGCCACATACACCTAAGGTGGCGGGTTCGAATCCCCAGCCAGGCCCACCAAACAACAATGATGACTGCAACTAAAAAATGGCCGGCGCTGTGGCGGGCGCCTGTGGTCCCAGCTACTTGGGAGGCTGAGGCAGGAGACTCGCTTGAGCCCAGGAGTTGGAGGTTGCTGTGAGCGTGATGCCATGGCACTCTACCCAGGGGGATAGCTTGAGGCTCCGTCTCAAAAAAATAAATAAAAAATAAAAAAATAAAACATAGCCAGGCTTTATGGCAGGTGTCTATTGTCCCAGCTACTTGGGAGGGTGAGGCAAGAGAATCGCTTAAGCCCAAGAGTTGGAGGTTGCTGTGCTGTGAGCTTTGACACCACAGCGCTCTGTCTCTAAATAAATAAATAAATAAAATTTTGTGAATAGCATTAAATGTGTTTTTTCTATTAAGCATTAGCATTAGGAAATCAGAAAAATACATAAACCCCCCTGTAATATAACCTAATCAAATTATCACATTGCAAATACATGGAGGAGAAAAAGATTGATAGTGGTCATCTGTGAAGGTGCCTGTAAAATATATTGAGACTCACAAAATAGAGAAACAGAATACTCTAGCTTTTAGAATATGATATTACCCTTGTTTCCCTAATAGATTTTATTGGATGGTAAACTACTTACATCCCTAGTTACTCTATAATAGCACTTCAATATTTTCACTATACTGAATTATGTTTCCATTAAAGTGTGAATATAAAACCTTCCATCTGAAAAGAGGTAACATCTTAATTTATACATATGGATTTACATACGCTGATGTTTTTGATTGTTTTAAGGAGTGCAATAGAAAAGCTTCATAGTATGGATGATGCCTTTAAAAAACAAGTTGATGCAATTGTTGAAGCTCATCGGGCTGAAATTTCACATCTGGCAACTGAAAAGCAGAAATGTATTGATACCGCGAATTACAAGGTACTATAAATAAAATATACTTTGATAATCAGTTTTAAATGGTTATAGCTAAATAAATTGGCTCTTTGAGAATTACAAAGAGAAAAGGCAGCATGATTTCATGACTAAATGGATATAAAGGATATTGCCAAAACTATCATAAAACCAGGGTAACGTAGATAATGTTATATTAATTATAAAACATAATTCTTTTTTTTAATTTTTTTATTAAATCATAGCTGTGTACATTAATACTATCATGGGGTACAGAGTGCTGTTTCTATATTCTATTGGAAATACTTTCATCCAACTAGTTAACATAGCCTTCATGTCATTTTCTTTGTTATTGTGTTAAGACATTTATATTCTACATTTAGAAAGATTCACCTGTACCTTTACGGGATGAACTATAGGCGTGATCCCACCAATCACCCTCCTCCCTCCCCTCCCCTTCCCTCCCTTTCCTCTTTCCCCATATTCTTGGGCTAAAATTGGGTTATAGTTTTCCTATGAAAGCTATAAATTAGTTTCATAGTAGGGCTGAGTATATTGGATACTTTTTTTTCCATTCTTGAGATACTTAATCACAAGGTCGTGGAAGAAGCCCAAGTGCCCATTGACCCACGAATATGGGCACAATATGTACACCATGGAATACTATGCAGCCATAAAGAAAGATGGAGACTTTACCTCCATGTTTACATGGATGGAGCTGGAAAATATTCTTCTTAGCACAGTATCTCAAAACATAATTCTAATTAAACCACCGTTGTATAAGTTTGATTCTGATGTTCACCTACTCCATGATTGTTAGATATATATATATAACCAGCCTTGGATAGAAGTCTCTTTGGTTATACACGGACAGGGTAAGAAAGTGAATGTATTAAAGATAATTCATCACTAGTTGGAAAAAGTTATCAAAGAGTTCTTTCTTCCTTTCTCCTAGGCTTAAGTAATCCTGCCTCAGCCTGCCAAGTGGCTGTGCCTGCAGACATGCACTACCACATCCTACTAATTTTCCCATTTTTTGGTAGAGATTTAATCTTACTATGTTCCTCAGGCTGGTCTTTAACTCCTGGGATCGGCTCAGCACCTGTGGCTCAAGTGGCTAAGGTGCCAGCCACATATACCTAAGGTGGCAGGTTCGAATCCAGCCCAGGCCCACCAAACAACAATGACGGCTGCAACCAAAAAACAGTGGGCGATGTGGTGGGTGCCTGTGGTCCCAGCTACTTGGGAGGAGGAGACTTGCTTGAGCCCAGGAGTTGGAGGTCGCTGTGAGCTGTGATGCCATGGCACTCTATCCAGGTGGATAGCTTGAGGCTCTGTCTCAAAAAAAAAAAACTGGGATCAAGCAATTCTCCCACCTCAGCCTCCAAAAATGGAGGAGTATGCCTAGGAATATAGGCATGAGCCACCATACCCAGCTGACTTCATCATTAATTAGGATTCAAGATTATCAGATTTATTATCTTGATATTATTGGCAAAGTAATAAGTATAGGGTGATGCTAAATTGGGGGCAGAGTTAGGACCATCTGTGAAACTTCTTAATGATATACATTCATGAATGTCACTTCAGAGACTTGATGATTCACTGTTTGGGGTCAAATGCAGGTATTTTCAAAATTCCACAGGTAATTCTTATGTGATCCCTCTATTGAAATCTACATTAGGAAATTATTGTGAATTTTTAGCTTTTCCTAATTTTGAAATAGTATAATAGTATAATAAGAAACTAAGGTATCTGTAAGACAAGAGATCCAGAAATCAGCACTTCTTAAAGAGTCCAAGAGAAAAGCAAAGCAGTATTCCATATAGAAATTGAAAGCAAAGTGTGTGTTTAAATGACATTATCCTCCAGACGATATGCAAAGAAAGAGGGAAATAAGGTATTTGAAATAATCACAAGGAATAGGAACCTGTCTAAAATTTAGTTCTTTATTTAAAGTCAACAGAAATTTCTTATGTTTTATTTAAAAATCTATAAAGTGTTTAACAATGTGATATCAGGTAATACTAAGTAGAGTTTAGGATTAGGCCCTTCACTGAAAGAAAACTCCTGAGTTGAGTGTTGGGCATCCTGTCAGTAGGAAGTAATAGATAGCAAAGGGACATGTGTGTTAGAGTTGGAGAAATAGCACCAGAGCTTAAATACGATAATGAGTTATGGGTACAGGAGAAGATTCTGAGGTATCACTTAGAAGTCATTATTTAAATTAGGAGAAATACTGGTTTTCTAAGGAAAAAGAGACTAGGAATTCTATATTAGAGGTTAGGAAGAGTGAAGCAAATAGAAAAAGATGGTCATATTAGTAGCAGTAACCAAGAACATTGTGGTATGGTAGGTGAAAGGATTTCATGTGAAAGTTAACAATATCAAAAACAGAACCTTAGGAGAATGTAGGTTAGGAATAAATGTTAAAATGATCTCTCAAACATATAGTCTAACCACTAACAGCACTTTTAGAAGTGAAGTAGGCACTACATTAAAAGGAAGTTTCTTTGAGAAGGAAGGTTATTTCAATTTTGCACATCTATAAGGAACTGTCATTTAAAAGTTAAACTCGGCTCAACGCCTGTGGCTCAAGTGGCTAAGGCGCCAGCCATATATACCTAAGGTGGCGGGTTCAAATCCAGCCCGGGCCCTCCAAACAACAATGACGGCTGCAACCAAAAAAATAGCCAGGCGTTGTGGCGGGCGCCTGTGGTCCCAGCTACTTGGGAGGCTGAGGCAGGAGACTCGCTTGAGCCCAGGAGTTGGAGGTTGCTGTGAGCTGGGATGCTACAGCACTCTACCCAGGGGGGACAGCTTGAGGCTCTGTCTCAAAAATAATAAATAAAAATAAAAGTTGAACTCATGAGTCAGCATTCATAGATAGCATAGGATAGTAAAGCTGTTTCTCTCCTAGCTGTGATAATATAGAAACTACATGGCCATAAACAAATTTTCTAAGCTCTGAAATAGGGTTAAAATATATTGCCTGTATCTTTTTCACGAGAACCTATGAGAACCAAGTAGATAATATACATGAAAGTACTTTGTATATTATGTATGCATCTCCTATTACCATTAAACAGGTTACATTTTACTAAACTTTTGCTTTATATAAGTAACAGATATCAAAATGCATAAGAACAAATGGCTGACTTTTTTCTTTCAGGATGCATCATTAAAATACATTTTCTTTAAGAAATTAAAATGTAAAATTTACATACCGATTTAGGTTCTTCAAGTTGAAGAAGAAATGCGCGGACTTCTGGAAGAAACATGCAAGAACAAAAAAGCAATGGAAGTGAAAATTAAGCAACTTGCTTGTGCTCTAAATGAAATTCAGCAAGATATGTGATCATTCTGCCAACAAATTTGATTGAAATGGACCAGCAGACCTATTGTAAAAATGATTAAATATTGTAATAGTAGTAACTGCTATGACTTTGAAATGTCTCTTTCTACACATTTTATTATGAATATATTTTAAACTTTTGATCAAGTATTGTATATGTAGGTTTTTATAATAAATTGTTGATAATTATGTGTATTAGAAAAACCTATCATAATAACTAGATTTACAACACTTTTTCTTGTTTCTTTGCTATACATTGTTTGATAATTACACATTTGCCTACTAATTTGTAAGTGAAAAGATTAGTATTTTGACTATCTGGAGGGAAAGTATTTTAATCATTGTTGTTACCTTATTTTGTTGATGAAGAACTGATTATATTTATTGGTTTTCATTTAGGTGATACAGTTCCATTTTTTTAAAGTACTTATAAGTGTAGCCAAAAGCATTGAAATCTGTATTATAAAAGATGTGGCATTCTTTAGAAAGCATGTATAGCCATCTCTACGTCACTCATAATGACCCCCTTTTTATAATGCATTTGACTTCTTATTAAAAATTACATTTAAGGTTTTATACATATTGTCTGTTCCTGGAGAGGAACACTGCTGTTCCACCCTCTTTCTCCCTTTTAATCACTGTATATGAAGAAAATTCTGCTATTGCAATTGGAAACAGTTATTCATTTCATAACCAAATCATTATTACTATTTAACCTTTGTCACATCTTACGGCATGTATTCAAAACAAAAATCTAAGTACCATGCCCCCCTACTATTTCTGAGAGGAAAAGTGAATACCACATTTTTTAACTCAAGGATATAGAACCAAAAAAATGTGGATGCCTCAGAAAGAGTCCTGTGATTTACGTGACATTATCAAACATACCAACACATGTAGTAGGAGCCTCAAGAGGGAGAAGTCATACCTAAACTTCTGAAATTTGATGAAAAATAGCTTATAAACACAAGTTTTTATAAAACCTGGGATAAATTCAAAGAGAACATGTTGTAGTCAAACTGTTAGGGAAAATCTTGAAAGGTGCAAGAAAATATGATTCCTCTCATACAGAGGAAAAGTAATTTAACAGCTGACTTGTGACTCCAGAAGTAATGGAGTCTAGAAGTGATATGTTTGAGGTCCTGGAAAAAAGGAACCATCGACCTAGAATTTTACATCCAGCAAAACTATCTTCAAAATAAATACAAAATAAAAACCTTTGCAAATTAAGGAAAACTTAACTGCTAGCCAACCTGCCTTAAGAGAAATGCTAAAGAAACTCTTAAGAGCTTAAAAAAAATTATACCAGATAGCAACTCAAATCTACTGAAGGAAATTAGTTAAGTTTGTTGATAAATTTTTATATTTACCAACAAAAGACCATAAAGGCTGGGATAGTGGCTCACACCAGTAATCCCAGCACTCCGGGAGGCCAACGTGGGTGGTTTGCTTGAACTTTGGAGCTTGAGACCAGTCTGAGCAAGAGTGAAACCCCATAAAAATAGCTGGGCATGTGGTGGATGCCTGTAGTCCCAGCTACTTGGGAGGCTGAGGCAAGAGGATCCGCTTGAGCCCAAGAGTTTGAGGTTGCTGTGAACTATGAGGCCACAGCACTCTACCAAGGATAAAAGTGAAACTGTCTCAAAAAAGAAAAAAATGAAAGACTAAATATTTTTACTAGAAGACATGGAAAGCAATAATTGTAACTATAGTTTTATTTTTAACGTAAATGTAATACAGATTAAAAATGGCATAATGTTGGGGGAAGGAAGTAGAGCTATACTGAAGTAAGATTTACATATTTCACCAGATTAAATAGTATTACTCTAAAGATAACTGTTAAACTAAAACGTTATAGTCAAAGTTTTCACAATTTTTTAAAAAACAGTTTAAAAAATAACAGTGAAGACTCCACTTCTAGAATAGCAACAAAAGGATCTCTGCAGACCTGTTTCCCATGAAAACAACCATAATTGGTGAAAAATATTTTTAAAACTACCATTTAAAATCACTAGAAATTGTCCTTAATATACAGCAGATGAAGAAACATTTATTGAAGAAAAAACTGTTAAATCTCTGAAGAGCAGAAAAAGCCTGTGGCACTGAGCCAAGACCTGCTCCCTGCTATCCTCAGCTCAGCCCTGATGGATCCACACCAGCTGGTTGTAGCCAAGAAGATAAGGTTTCTTTTTCTTTTTCTTTTTTTTTTTTTTTTTGAGACGGAGCCTCAAGCTATCTCCCTGGGTAGAATGCAATGGCATCACAGCTCACAGCAACCTCCAACTCCTGGGCTCAAGTGAGTCTCCTGCCTCAGCCTCCCAAGTAGCTGGGACTACAGGCGCCCGCCACAACACCTGGCCATTTTTTGGTTGCAGCCATCATTGTTGTTCGGAGGGCCCGGGCTGGGGATTCGAACCCGCCACCTTAGGTGTATGTGGCTGGCGCCTCAGCCGCTTGAGCCACAGGCACCGAGCCGAAGATAAGGTTTCTTCTCCCTCTCCACTCACAATCAAAGAATGTGATAACTCACCGGATAGGTGGGCTGGCAGCTTTCATCCCTTTCAAAAGAGTTACAGAGGCTAAATTCCTGGTGAACACAGCCAAAAGTAAGGGGGTTCTTTCCCCACCAAGTTTCCAAGCATAGAAAAGAAATTCCACCATAGGTGGGGCAGACCAGGAATACTGAGCCAAATTGCCTTTACCCCTGCTCTCCTCAACGTTCACCATTTGGGGAGGCAGGCTACTCCCCAGCCTAGTATCTAGAGCAGTGGTTTAGAGATTTTGACCAGAAGGAACCTGTCCCAAAGCTCTCCAAAGGAATTGAGTTTTTGAAACAATGTGGGGAAGCTCAAGCTAAGGGTATCCTAAAAATGACATTTTTAGTGGAAAGCAGTTAAGGGGGTTGTAGCTTCCTAAGAGAAACAAAATGTAAACTGGTTTACCAGACAAAACCAGTGAAAGATAGCTAAGAAGAACACTTCTGCATTAGGAAAAAACAGAATGGCCAAGTGTAAGTCCTACCTGAATTCAATTGCATCTGATTGGAGCAATTAATGCCCCACTTTTTTTTTTTTAAGCAAACAGTCAATGATTAGTGGAGGTGGGTGTGATGCCAAACAAACAGACCTTCACAGAGATTAGGGGAAAGAGAAAGAGAGAGAACCCTACAATAACCAACGTCCCAAGAGTGACTGCCTTCTCAAAACTGTACCAATTCAGGATAAACATAGGGGTTATACTGCCAAAGAATAACCTCTGCTAAAAACGTCTAAGTTACTTACAAAATAGACAAGCAAAAACAAGCCCTATAGAAGAAGGGAATCAATATTTAGAGTTGCTGCAATATGTTAAGTGTCTAGGCTTCAACAAAGAAAAATGTAAGACTTGTAAAAAAATGGGAATGTGTGACCTATACACAGGGTTGCGGTAGAGTGGAAGGTACAAAACCTATCAGGGACACAACTGTTAGATTAAACTAAGAGCTCAAAGCAGACATAAATATGTTCAAAGAGCTAAAGGAAAGTATGTTTTAAAAGTAAAAGGCACGGGCGGCTCCTGTGGCTCAAAGGAGTAGGGGGCCAGCCCCATATGCTGGAGGTGGCGGGCTCAAACCTAGCCCCGGCCAAAAACTGCAAAAATAATAATAATAAATTAAATAAATAAAATTTAAAAAAAAGTAAAAGGCACTGATGACAATGCTCATCAAATAAAGAAGATCGCTAATGAGATAATTATGTTTTCAAAAACAAGAATTCTGGAGCCGGAGAGTATAGTAGTGGAAATTTCAATCTTACTGAAGAGCTAGGTCTATAGTATCTTTGAACTGGCAGAAGAGTCAGTAAACTTGTATACAACATGATGGAGATAGTGCAATCTGAAGCAGGGAGAGAAAAACTGAAGAAAAATAGGACCTCAGAGAAATGTGGGTCACGTTAAGCACATGAACACACACAGAAAGGGAATACCAAACAGAAGAGGCAAGAGGGAGTCTCTTCAACAAATACTGCTGAAAAAACTAGACAGCCACATGCAGAAGAGTGAAGCTGCGCCTGCACCTCACACTATCTGCAAACATCACCTTGAGATGACCCCAAAATCACATAAGTGCAATTGTTATGGCCTTGGTTGGATTAGGCATTGGTTTTTTAGATTTGACATCAAAAGCCCAGAAACAAACAAAAAAAGTCAAAACGAATTTTATGAAAATTAAAGACCTTTATTGTTCTAAGAATACTATTATCAAGAGAATGAAAAGACAGCATGCAGAATAGAGAACGTTTTTGCAAGTCATATATCTGACAGGCTATTTAGAATATATTAAAAAACTCTTAAAACTCAAAAATAAAAGACAAGCAACCCAATTATAGCTAAGCAAAGAGTGGGGGTTTTTGTCAGAAATAGCAAAACCTTTTCCAGAATTCATGTGGCACCTCAAGGATCCTGAATAGCCAATGCAATCTTGAAAAAGAACAAAACTACAAGTCGCCAGCCAATTCACCCATAACCATTTGTTAAATAGTCTTTCCCCAATTTATATTTTTGATAGGCTTATCAAAGAACAAATGAAGATAAGTGTCTGGATTCATCTCTTGGTTCTCAGTTCTATGCCATACATCTACCTCTCTATTTTTGTGCCAGTACCATGCTGTTTTGATCACTATAGAGTTTTGTATAGTATGAAGTCTGGTAGGATGATTCCACCTGATTTCTTTTTTTTTTTTTTTTTTGAGACTGACCCTCAAGCCTTCCCCCCTGGGTAGAGTGCTGTGGCATCACAGCTCACAGCAACCTCCAACTCCTGGGCTCAAGCAAGTCTCCTGCCTCAGACTCCCAAGTAGCTGGGACCACAGGCGCCAGCCACAACGCCCAGCTATTTTTTGGTTGCAGCCATCATTGTTGTTTGGTG